CCACTAGAGCATACCGTCTCTCTCTAAAACCCACACATCTCTCTCCTCTCTCTCTCTCTCTCTCTCTCAAACCCACAGCTCTCAAGCCCCCAACCCTCTATAACGTCTCTCTCTCTAAAAAGTGCAACAGTGGTAAAGCAACAAATATTCGTTGAACACCTCTCTGTCTCTTGCGTCCCTTTTGTCACATATGAGATCGATTCGCAGGACTAGGAAATCCTTGATGAAGAGGATGGCTCCTTCCACCAAGGAACTCTCTCAGTAGCTCACTCTCAATCATGGAGGCTACCTGAATGTCAACTACCCTGTCAGCCCCATTCATTTCTCCAGGCGCCGGCGCCAAATTAGAGAAGAAAAACCATCACGACCTCCTCTAGATTTAGCAGAGAATGAAAACCTAATTGTCGGTTCTGTAGTGGAGAAAGACCCTCCACTGGATTTAGCAGAATTGAAAGCACATATTGGAAAGTCATGATCTGCTCATTGCCCTATGCAAAAATGCAATAAATTTATAATTTGTTAATCACTAAAGTCATGACTTTGGAAAGACGAAGAGAATTGGATTCTCTATTCGAGCTCTGAGAGATTGCCAGTGTTAGAAGGCCCATAAAGGGTGAATGCTTTGACCCTGTTGCCGTACTTCTTTCTTTTTTTTGAGAGAGAGAAAGAGACGTTGTAGGGTTTGAGAGCTGCATGGGTTTTGGAGAGAGTTGTGTGGGTTTTAGAGAGAGGGACATTGCTGCTTTATCTTTTGAGAGATATGAGAGTCATTTCAAATTTTGTTTGGGTGAATTATATATGATGAGGTTATTTGAGTTCAGGGTTTTGGAAAATAAAAAAGATTGGAACGGACGCAGCGAGAAAGGATTTAAAACCTTGGGTAGAGCTGTTGGGATGCTGCTTAAAGCCAAAGCGGTTCCATATATAATTTGGATCGGAGCTGTTTGGATGCTGCCTGAAGCCCAAGCGGTTCTATATAAATCGGAGTTAGAATTTGCTTATATTCTCTCTCTCCATTGCGTTAGAATTTGCTTATATTCTCTCTCCATTGCGTGGTCATTAAGCTAAGGACCAGTCTCTCTCTCCATTTCTTGGTCTCTGTCTCTCCCTTTTCTTAGTCATTAACCTAAGGACTAGTCAGATAGGCCATTCTCTCTCTCCATTTCTTGGTCTTTAAGCAAAGGACAAGTCAGAAGTCCATTAGCTTATTTAGTTTTCTATTCCAAAGAGTAGGTAACATGAGTCCAAAGGACATTTTAATATGGACTCGGTTTCTATGCGGCCAGACCCTATTTTATAGAAATGTGGATTTGGTAATAAATATATTATATATATATATATATATATATATATAATTTGATCCATATTTTAGAGAATATATAATCATTAACATATAGATCATGAACGTAAAAGAAAAAAAAAAAATGTAAATAAAAACTAGTAATTATATTAAAAAAACCTTTTGACCGTTAATTACACTTATTTTTTTTTAGATGGACCACCTATTTGCATCCATCTTTAAAATGAATGCTTTATACATCTGGACCGCATATTGTAGAATTGCGGTCCAACCCGCATGAAACAATTTTCTTTATTTTATTTTGTTTTCTATTCAAAAGAGGATTTTGGAATATGTAACATGAGGACACTATAATATTGCTCGACCCATCTTTGACCGTGCACAAAATATTGAACTTTTGCCTTTCCTTTTGTACCATGGTGTTATAGAAGAAACTACCAAGTTATTAGTGTCAATCTCCCATGTCTCCTCAACCTAAATTGACAACGACGGAGAGATGCGAGATAAAAAAAAAAAACAAGGTAAAAATTGTTAAAAGAGTTTAATTATTTTTTGAAAAAATTACTTTACGAAATTACCTTCTCAAACAATCCGCTAAAGAACTTTTTAAATTACCTATAAAGATTGGAAATTCAGAATAACAAGGAAATTTTGATAATTGAGGCCACTTAAGTAGCTCGAAGTATATTGCAAAAACAAAACATATCCTAGTTGTTTAGGGTTTAGGGAAATGAAAAGGCCAAATATCCGAAATTTGCAAATATAAAGAAGAGATATTTCGTTATTGAGTAGTCTACTCGTAATAGTGAACAACTAGCTACGTTTTTTTTGTAGTATGGCTCTAGTTATTTAAATGGGCCAAAAAATGTCAACGCCCCTAGTTGTTTTAGATTCCCAACCTTGAACAAGGTTAATTTTGATAATTTTCAACAATTTTTTTGAGGAGGTACTCTTTTCAAATGAATTTCACAAGCAAATTCTATGGTGAAACATAAGATGTCTTGAACCCTTCATTGACATCATAACAATGGCATGGAAATACAATTCATCTTTAATTGCGAAATTTAAAGCTCCAAAATTATGCAGTTGGAGCACATAAGTGAAAACTTAAAAATATTAAAAATAAATGATTAAGTGAATGTGTTACAAAATGCACTTATTTTAAGTCTTGAGATCTTTTTTTTTTAATATCAAATATAAACGACAGTTTAAATGATCAATTAGAGAGATTTCTAGCGTCAAAATTACTTTTTTTTTATTGGATATTTGAAATTGTATTTTGCTTTTATATTATACGAAATTTAAAAACTATAGACAAACTCTTTCTTATTTTAATCCTTTTAATAATATTTTTCAAAAAAATAAAAAGAGAAGTAAATCACCAATGACGTAGTATGTGCCACTATGCCTTATACAATCAATCAACAAAGAAGAACAGAGAGAGGAGAGAGTGACTCTTTGTTTAGTTTTTTTGGGTAATATCAACGGGGGAAACAGACCCCTACCCATTTTTTAAGTGGAGTAAGAGTAATGTTTTTTTGAAAGTATTAGTAGGATAGTGTTAATGGTGAAAAAATGAAAACCCCATTATAATGATTAGGTTGTCAGGTGCTATCACCACGTACAAGCCCCTTACCAGGAGATCATGCGTGACAAAATCCATGACGTAAAAGTGCTAGTCAATTGTCAGGAGAGACTGTAAATTTTTTTTCCTCAAAGGACACCAATGCTGTCAGGCTCAAACTTTTCAATGGACAAAATCCAACTCAATAACACATCCTTTAAAGACGATATTTAGGGCTTCCATGTATAAATGGGAGCAAAGAATGGAGAATATGAGCACGACTACTCAGCAATGGCAAAGAACGAGCACAAAGTGAGATTGTTGGGAGCATGAGCAAGCCCCTTTGTTTACAGGGTTGGATTGGCCCTCAAATTTAAGGGTATTGAGTACGAATACATGGAAGAAGACCTCAAAAATAAGAGCCCCCTTCTCTTAGGATCCATATTCACAAGAAGGTCCCTCTGCTCATTCACGGCAACAATCCAGTGTCCGAATCGGTGGTAATATTAGAATATATAGAGGAAACATGGCTTGAAAATCCCCTCATGCCACAAGACCCCTACGACAGAGCCACAACTCGTTTCTGGTCGAAATTCATTGATGACAAGGTAAAGTCGACACTTGGGTAATTTGCTCTACTATTTATTTTAAAGGTTATCTAATAATAGTCATTTTTTTTTTGGTACAAGGAGATCAAAATCACCTTTGACCATTACTATGAAATCGGATGGCGGAGTGTGCTATCCTTCCTCGAGGATTTTTGGAACTCTTTGACATATTCCAAGCTAGTGTTCTAAAACACATGCAAATTGCTCAAGCAAATACGTGAAACTCGCCCGAGTCTATCCCGAGTTTAAAAATAAAATTTGATTAAAATATACTATATAAAATATAGCCTTCACATTTTGACATCATATGTTGAAAAGCATGCTAATTATTATGTATCCACACTCATTTTCTATTCTTTTTTTTTTTTTCTTTTTCGTCCTTTTTATTTTTTATTTTTTATTTTTTTATTACGTGAGGTCCTGAGTTTAACCATTGTTTTTTTCTTTTTGTCTTTGAGGAGCTCCCATGTTGCGAGCTCGAACCTCCACATCATGTTGGGGCATGTGCATGGCACTGGCCAAGGAGTCATTCAAGCACGTGTGATAAAATTTACATATTAATATAAATAAAATTTTCAAACATGGTGTACAACCTATTTACCCAAAACTCACCTTGCCTTTAGGGTGAAGGTGAGTAACTCGGCCAAGTCCAAGTGGCGTCGACCAAGTCTCTTAACACTTCTCCAAGCTATCCAATTTCACATGAGACTATTCATGTAACCATGGCGGCATTTTACAGTTTCAATCTTCTCTCTCTGTCGTTTTTGTTTTTTCTTTTTTTTTTTTGTCATAATGAGCATCAATGAGAAGAACAAGTTTGTTTGTAAAATAATTGGTGTTGGCGTGTTAATATTTTCCATTTTGAAACTTGGCGTGTAGCATGATTTCCAATTTGTTTCTCTCCAAAAAGAACCATAGGTGCCGATGATAACTTAAAGGGTGGCTCACACTTTTTCCCTTTTACCTCAGTTCATACCAACACTTGGGATGGTTCTCAAAACACAGGGGGAGGAACAAGAAAAGGCAATGAAGGAGGCAGAAGAGGCTCTTAAAACCCTAGAAAGGGGCGGCCTCATATTTGGTGGAGAAGCAATCAGCATTGTCGATATTTCTGCTAATTGTTTAAGCATCTGGTTGGAAGTGTTTGGGGAAGCAATTGGCACAAAATTTATAGATTCTGAGAAATTTCCACTCATTTGTTCTTGGATTGAAGAGTTCACAAGCATTGATCTAGTCAAGGAGAGCTTTCCTCCTCGTGATAAGCTTCTCGCCTACCATAAAAGGTTGCTATAAAGACATGCTCGCATCGAAATTTTCTCCGAATTAATGATATCAGTCTGTGAGTTTAAGGTTTTCACATGGAGTCAAAAAATAATAACAAGAAAGAGTTGGATTGTGGAAGATTTCTTTGCTCACAATTTGCATGTAGAGTTGAGTAACTAAGGAGATCGCATCTTGGGCCACAGTGATTGTTGCTTAAAGAATTTATGCTAAGATGCTTTGACCCTCCAATTATCTAAAATGAATCTTCTAAAATCCTCAAATAACAGAGAGGTTCCTAGATAGGTCATTTGTCTTGAAATATTGGACTGGTGAAACTAGGCCGTAGTATTTGGTTGAGGAAGATTTAAGAAAATACAAAGAACGATGGACCTTTGTTTCTCCTACAATAAGCCTATATTTTGCCCCCTTACTGTAAGAATCACTTAACAAAAAAGCGGATTGGGCAAAATACTCCTCGGGATATCTTAAAACAAAATGATACAAAAATATCGATAATTGCATTAAAAAAAGTGAGCTTACAAAGCGTTAGAGTTGCCTCAATGTATAGAGAAATCAACGTAGAAAGAGCATGATTTAGAGAACTGGTAGAAACGTTGGAGAGAGAGAGAGAAATGAGTACTAAAATAAAATGAGGAAAACAAAACTCTATTTACAGGTTTGTGAGTGTCTTTTTCTGAGAAAGGAGTTGCAAGTCTCTTTTCATGACTAACCGTTATAGAGTATAACTATTTATTAATCAGTCGTGGCAATTTTTCCGTGGATTTCCGGTATAGCATTGGCGCTTGGAATGAATTCACAATTATTTGGTGTTCGAAATGGGTTGGGTGAAAAAAAAAAAGGAATAAATTAGTCAAACTCCCTTACTGTTTTCGGGCATGCATGCGAGATGATATTTGCCTCCCCTTCAATATTGTAAAGGAAAATACAAGTGCGATGCTCGAAACAATCAAATTAGAGCATGCCCCAAAACATTTCACTACAAGAGGGTGTTTTGAAGCTCAAATATCTTCAAATTGATCATCTCGACCCTCAAGATGTATGGACGTGAGAAAACAATTAGATTTCAAGTTTTTGAAATAGTACATCTTATAATGCATTTTGGATCGTCAATTTTCAATATTTTCAAGTTTTTATAAATCTGCCCGATTTTTTTTTTTAAATAACTTCTTCACAATTAGCTTAATTTGGGATCATGTCTCTGTATTGATTTTCTAATGGAGCAAGTTTCTTATATGGAACGCCAATAAAATTTCAATTCAAAACAAATGGTCTCCCTCTATTCCTCTCGTGCAATATTAATATCTTATTAAAAATAAAGGTTTGATGTTACTCATGAACTCCCTCTTTTTGTCTTTATTGCATTTTTATAAATTATTGATTTTTATACATACTTTTTATGAGGAGTGCCTATCTTTAATAGCGAGAGAAAATACAAGTTTTTTACAAATCAAATGCGCTTAATGAAAAAAACTCAATTTATTGTGATTTTGTCATCCAAACAATCAAGTATCTTAAATCTTAAAAATTTCTAAAACACAGGAAGATAAATTAAACATGCACAAAAATACAAATATCGAGATAATATATAATTCTTTTTTTTTTCTTTTTCGTTTTACTCCACATCTTTTGGGACGCAGATGTCTTTTCACACCATTTGCTCCTTGTGGTAGTAGAACCTTTTCCTATGGAACCAGTTTTCATCTGCTTTACGCACGAACCAAATATGTGTAACTGCATGTTTCATATGAAAATCGTCTCATGATGCACGTTTTCATATGAACCAAACGAGCCCCAAGTAACAAGCCCATTTATTTGGTTTGAGAAACTAGGTGGCAAGCCCATATTAGTCCCCACAAAAGAGAGTTTCTTCATACGAATGGCTGGCGAAAGAGTTTGGAATGTGGTCATTCGGTCAAGAGCAGAATGGCTGTTGAAGCACCAGGGAATCCAATACCAGTACATAGATCTTTCTATCAAAAGCCACTCACTTTTACACTGCAACCCGGTTTACAAGAAGGTCCCCTTCCTCTTACATGGCCAAATCCAGTGGCTGAATCCTTGTTGATCTTAGAATATATACAAAAGAAACATGGCCACAAAAACCCCACCTTGGCCAAACATCCTCATGAGAGAGCAGTGCCTTGGATTTGGGCCAAATTCTGAGATGATAAGATAACCCTTCTTCCCTTGCTAATCACTATAGCATATTCTAGTTTTTCAGAGTTCGGATTTAGAAAGTTTCTGGTAAAGCATCTGGAGAGGATGAACAGTAGAGATTAACAATGACCAGGTGGATGACTAGTCTCTGCCGGCTGTCTTGGAGAAAGAACGGTGGATGCCGTACAATGTCGTGTACATACATTAGTGGTGTAAGGCTACTCTTCTAAATGTATGAGGAGAAACAAATAATGTTCCATGTGGTCATAGTAAGAGCAATGACCATAAGGTCAGTCACTATTCGATCTATATGTTGGATGATGATGGAGGGATATAGGATTGCATCGATGAAAAGGTTAGTGGGACATACAGAGTCCTCTCCATCAATATCCAACCCATTGGTGAGACACGAGAAAACCTCATGGTCATGCTGCTATGATGACCACATAGATCATTATAATTATACAGATCCATATAGTAGTAATTGGGCAAATATGCATTACACCACTAATAGCAGGAAAATTAAACATAACTCTCAATGATGCACAAACCCAAGTAAAAGAGTTCTCTTCACTCTGTCAGTAGGAACAGACTGGTGGATGCTACCATATGTGTTTTTCTGCTGCATTCCGGTGTCAGAATCTACAAATAAAAATGTCCATTCTGCATACCCTATGCCATACAATTCTGTATGAAATGTTTCTCCATACTACCTCTCTCTCTCTCTCT